ATAGAATTTATCTTGTATAACGAATTTTTAATAAATATTCGTACATAGTTTATTTTAAATTATTATTTTAAAGACTTTACAACTTAGAGTAACTGCTTTTTTAATATTTATTGCTTATTTATCTCATATGGAGGCTAAAAAACCTTTTTATTAAATGTTTCGTTTGTTATTCACTACGTCACTTAATAGCAAAAGTTCGTGTAACAGGTTAACCCCTAAAAATCAAATCGGTGGATATGTAGAGTTCGGAAACCACTTATATTAGACAAGAATAATTAGACTAAAAATATCAACCCTAACCTTAAAAATTCTGAATCAACTTAAATTCTATTCCTACCTACGACAGAAACAAACAACAGATAGCTTCTTATTTGTATTAAATCTTGATAACCTCAAAGGATCTATATCATACGTTAATAATAGTATGCAATTTATTGCAATGGTTCAAGTTTCGGGAAGGTCCTGATTTGCGCATTTCAAATGATGACGATACTTTGAAATATAGAATAGAATCCCAACATCATAAGTTGGTTGGTTCAGATAATTCAGATTCACATGAATTTGCAATCACAGATTATGAAGTCTTTCAAGTAGTTAGCATCATTTCTATTCATGGTTGATTACAAAAATATAACAAAATAACTGCATAATAAACAAATGATTTGTTTTACTGATAAATTATCAGTGTACATAATTTTAAATTTCATTTATCAATCTAAAGTTATATTTTTTGTAAACTTAATACCGTGTTTTTCGAAATAAAGCACAGGTGTAATTTCGAATTTAGATTCGGGTGTGTTTATTACTTTGCAAAAATACAGCAGTTATTAATCGCTATACGTATAACAATTAATTTTTCCGTATTCATTTTTATATTCAGCTACAACTAAAAATGCTAGTAAAATTAAACCAAAGTATGAAGTAATTTTACTAGCATCTTTAGTTACAATGATCTGTATTATGTGTAAATTTCTAGTTCATTGCAACAGTCTCAATCACATAAAACTTTACGATTTCGGATGCTTTTTTTTTATTACTTCCGATAAAATTGTCAAGTCTTTAAAATAATAATTTAAAATAAACTATGTACGAATATTTATTAAAAATTCGTTATACAAGATAAATTCTAT